CATATTTTATGGTGCTTCAAAAATTTACGGTTTGACTACCTGCCTTGAGTCATTTGGGGATTTCTTCGGCTAAGCGGTTAACGTTTTAGCTTTGGCAAAATTCGCAAGCCCTGAACGTCACAACAGAGTTGTCGAATTAACCATTTCAAACTATGAGCAACGCCTAGAGACAATTTCCTTGAGGGGTACCAAGCCGATTTGTAGAGGGGCAAAAAGGTCGTGATTGATGAACCACTTTTGAAGCATGTTAACCATGCTTAGGTATCATTCACTTCACCTGAGGCTTCAAAAAACATGAAAACGATTTCGTAATCAGGGGTTCAGGGTGCATCTCTTCTAATAAACACCCAGTTTTGTAGTTCTCTTGCTAGTCCCCATTGTGGTGTTCATATCTCGTAGGAAAACTTACTTTTGACTATCCTATCCGCTTGGATTTCAGTTTTCATTTGGATCCAGCTATTCAAGCCAGTCTTGTAGGGCTTGCACAAGCATAAGCAATGTTGTTCTATATCTGGAATATGCTCATCACCAACATTCATGTCACGTTTCAGTACTCCGTCCTGCTCAACATCAGAGTCACCTGTACTTCCTGATATCCTGTTGGTGGGAAGTCAGCAATCCCTTGACGATCCTGGTAAACCGCTTCCGGAGAAAGTTGAAAGTACAGACTCCGGATTTTGCTCGAAATCGGACAGTCCCACGCCCATCAGCTCGCAAACAAGTTCGCAACAAACTTCCGATACGTCTACTGCAGCACATCCTGAAATCGAAAAGTTTGTTTCATAATCCTTTTTTTCGGAGAACTTCGAAGTTGCAGTTTAGAGAACAAACCACACCACAAACCACAACGCCTAATGGAGAGATCACAAGGAATTGTAAAGAGAAACATTTTCATGGTGGAACCAAAGATGATGGAGAGAACGCAAAGGTTGAAGGTCTTCGGGAACGGCTGTCGAAGTGGCGAAGTCTACCTCAACTGAATAAGGGAGAAGAGACAGAATGTAATGGACATGCACGAATGGAATCAGTTACAGCAAACGAGTCACATAAGCAAAGGTCTCGCTCAGGTGCGTTAGGAAATTTGTAGC